AAATAAAAAGATATTAATTCAAAATGGACTACAGACCTAAATGTAAAACCTAAAACAATAAAACTTTTGGGAGAAAACATAGGTGAAAATCATTGGGTTCTTAGGATAGGCAGATTAGATGCAACACCAAGAATATGAGCCATAAAAGGAAAAAATGGATAAATTGGACCTCATAAAAATAAAGATCTTCTGCTCTTCAAAAGACAAAGAGAATGAGAAGTCAAGCTACGATACTGAAGAAAATATTTGCAAGTCACATATTTTATATAGGACTTGTATCCAAAGTATATAAAGAACTCTCAATAATTAGAAAATAAAACAACTTAATTTTAAAAATGAAGAAAAGATCTGAGCAAATATTTCATCTACAAAGATATGTGGATGGCAAGTAAGTACATTAAAGATGTTTGACATCATTAGTCACTAGAGAAATGCAAATTAGAACCAAGATGAGATGCCATTACACACCTATAAGAAGGTTTACAATATCATTTGTATGTAGACTGTAAAGAATAATACAAATCAATGTGCGTGCAAAACAGAAACAGACTCACAGATGTGGAAAACAAACTTGGGATTGCCAAAGGGGAGAGGGAAGCGGGGAGGGACAAAGTAGGGGTATGTGACTAGCAGATACAAACTACTATATATAAAATGGATAAGCAACAAAGATACACTGTATAGCACAGGGAACTATAGCTATTATCGTGTAATAACCTATAATGGAGTATAATCTGAAAAAATACTAAATCACTATGCTATACACCTGAAACTAACATAATGTAAATCAACTACACTTCATTATTTTTTTTAAAAGAAAAAAATCTGTTTCTCTTAAGAATGATGGCCTTTATTTATTTTTAGGGTGATGGTACTGGGGATTGAACCCAGGACCTCATATATGCTAAGCACACACCCTACCACTGAGCTATACCCTCCTCTTAGGGATGATAGCCTTTTAATGAGCTCCCAAGGAACTCATAGAAGGGCCTGGGGACTAAAACAAGAGGGCCCAAGGTAGTTAGAACCATACACAAGGTTCCCCCGCAGTGGAGACTCCACTAGTTTTCAATTTTATGGCCTCTTTTTTATGCTCTCCCTTGCTGTGATCTATGGATAGGAGAATTTTGATGATAAAAAACAAACAGGTCAGATCCTGCCGTGCTGGTTCTCAAACAGCTTTACTAGATCCCAACCCCAAAATGATGAAGTTAAAATTTTTGGTCTGGCATTTAGGGACTTACAGGATCTGATCCCAGCCTGCCTTTCTCAGGTACTTGCTCCCTGCTCTCTGTCTCATGCCCTAGGCCCAGACTCTTGGTGGCTTTACACTTTGCTTGTCTTTTTCCCTCTGCAGGAAACGTCTTTCCAACTCCCATCCCATCACTGCACCCTCCATTCTGCTTGCAGAACTCAAATTCCTTCCCTAGCAAGGAGAGTTAAGTTGAATCACTCTCCCAGAGGCCTTTGATGCCCTAATTCCATTGGACCTGGGATAGTAGACAACTCTGCCCATGTCCGCTTCTCCACAGACTCAAACAGCCAGAGGGCAGAGCCTGGCTGTATGTGGTTCTACCTCCTGGTGCCCAGACCAGAGCTTTGGGTGTAGGAGGGTGTTGGTTGTGGAGTGACTGGTGTGTTCATCTTCCTCTTTGTAATTTTATTTTTATTCTTATTTATTTCCTAATTTTTTTTTTTTTGGTAGGGGAAGGTAGCTAGGTTTACTTATTTTTTTTTAGAGGAGGTGCCGGGGATTGAACCCGGGACCTTGGGCATGCTAAGCATACACTCCACTGCTTGAGCTACACCCTCCCCCTCTTATTTATTTATTTAAACTAGGGGAGAGCGCGAACGCAGTCCCCCACTACCACAAATTACACAGTCAAGTTTCCCGCATTTGGGAAAATTGCAGGGGTTAGCACATCCCGAGTACAATGAATGAACCTTGCCCTGGGAAAAACACCTTGGTGATCATGGTATGTCCTGTTTCAGGTAACTATCATCTCCCTCTTTTTTAATATTTATTTATTTATTTATTTGGAAGAACAGTCAGTTACATTGTGTCAATTTATGGTGTGCAGCACAATGTCCCAGTCATGCATATACATACATATATTCATTTCCATATTCCTTTTTCATTAAAGGTTATTACAAGATATTGAATATAGTTTCCTGTGCTATACAGGAGAAACTTCGTTTTCTTTAATCTATTTTTTATATAGTAGCTAACATTTGCAAATCTCAAACTCCCAAATTTATCCCTTCCCACCCCCTTTTCCCAGTAATCATAAGATTATTTACTATGTCTCTGAGTCTGTTTTGTAGATGAGTTCATAGTCTCCTTTTTTTCCTTTTTTTAAAGTTTCCACATATGAGTGATATCATATTCATCTCCCTCTTTTTTAAATTCAAGTTTTATTAATTTGAAACATGTCATACATTCACACTAAAAAAGTACAAAAGACTGAAAAGTCCCTCTGTTCTCTAGCCACCTGATTCCCTTTTATGGAAATAACCAATCTTATTAGCTTTTTATGCAAACATGTCTATTCTTCTCCCTCCTTTTTAGAATAAATGGGATCATACTCAAACAGTTTTGCAGTTTGCCTCTTCACTTTGGTATGCTCATATACACGTTTAAAAAATTTGCTTAACCAATTGACTATTGATAACATTTAGGTTGCTTTTATTCTTTTGTTATTAAAAACAATGCTGCAACTTATAACATATATTTGTCATATTCACATGTGTATTTAGGTAGGAAGAATTTCTCGAGGTGGGATTGCTCTGTCAATGGGTGTGGTCACTTTTAATCTTGGTCAGCATTGCCTAACCATTCTCCATAATGTCCAATTTTACGCCCACCAGCAATATATAGGAGTCTCTATCCCTACACTCTTGCTAACACAATGTGTTATCAAACATTTGGACAAGTTTCATTTAAAAAATTAACGTTAGATCTTATTTTGTATGTATGTAGCAAGTTCATGATCATCCATTGGGTTGAAGATCATCAAAGGTATCTGGTGATGTTGACAATCTGGAGATTCTAGCCCTGTGTTCTTAGAATATAATTCTTGTTTGACTCCTAGCATAATTAAGGAATGGGGTAGGAAAATGTAATGGATCGCCAGCTGCTTTAATGAAGAGATTTTACTTTTGTGGAGCAGTTTTACAGTTTTTACATTTTACAAACATTGATTTTGGTCAATGGGTACATCGCTGTAGTTTCAATTTAAAGCATAACCAACCTGTAGGAGACAGCTGGATGAACATAAGCTTTGCAGGTTGATGTTTTGGATAAAATTCTGGGTATCTCTTGATTATTTTAGGAAGGAGATCACTATAGAGTTCAGAAAAAGAGTCTCTGAAATCTGCTGTATAGCTGTGTTGTGAGGATTAAATGGTATACTGTTCGTAAAACTTTTTGTCACAGTAATAGGCCCTTAATAACTATAGTTTTAACTATTAGTTGTTAAAAAGTATATTGTTGTATGTGGTGATGGCAGATTAAGGGGCTACTTGGGTGATATAACCTGCTGTCTTGGAGGTAATATCTCTGTAGTACGGTAAATTCCTCTCTGGTATTCATTAGCAGTGTGAGTTTGGGCACACCCCGTAACCTCTCTGGTCTCAGTTTTCTTATCTGTAACGTGGAAGAATAAAATCCAAGACTCAAGGTTTGCCCTGAAGCTTAAATGTGTAATACTCATAAGTGCTTCTTAGACATTCTCTTCTTTCCTCCCAACCCAGTGGCGGAGACAATGAACAACCCATCAAACGCAATAATCCCAGGAAACCAGAAGGACCGAGTCCGGGATGACGCAAGCAAGGCAATTATGGCCAGTGCGCCGCCCGTCGAAAGGGTAGTGGAGCGACGAGCTATCACTCCCTACCGGCGACGCAAGAGACTGGACCCAGCTGAAGCCGCTGAAGCTCAGCCATCACCCTGGCAACACCGCCTTCCGGTCTACTCTGCCCCGCCCATTTCCTGTTCCAGCGTCTTGCGTCATCACTGGGCGACCGGCTACGGGTTTCCCATAAGGACAGTCTCGGGGGTGCGGTTCCGAGTGGAGGGAGGTGGAAGGAAGTGGAAGGAAGTGGCGGGAGGCGGAGGGTGGCGTTCGCGGGTCGCGGGGATTGACCCCGGCGGCGTCCCTGTCTGCGCCCGGGGCTTGCTGCAGTCATGGAGAGCGGAGGGCGGCCCTCGCTAGGCCAGTTCATCCTCCTGGGCACCAGCTCTGTCGTCACCGCCGTTCTGTACTCCGTGTACCGGCAGAAGGCCCAGGTCGCCCAAGAGCTCAAGGTCAGTGCTGAAGTCCGCCTGGCTTCACGCGGTCATCCTTCCCGGGGTAATGGTGAGCGCCGAATTCGCCGTGGGCCGCTCCACCTTCTGCAGTATCCAAGAGAGGAAACAGGCTCTAAGGGGGTGTCACCCGGCCGGTAGACAGAGGAACTAGTTCAGAATTCGGGTCTCGTGATAACTGCTTCACTGCTTCCTTTCTCCTAAATCTTTCTCATTACTCAGAATGAATTTTGACTTAAATACTTTTTTCGACAAATCTTTAATGTAAACATCTGCTAAGCTTCAGGCACTGAGGGTATCGCGTGGATAGAACAGACACTAGTCTCTGCCCTCACGGAGGTTCCATTCTAATCCACCCAGACAAATAATAAACGAGTCAATCAAATTTTATGACACATGAGGATAAGTACTACAAGGTAATGCAGGGAAGAGAGGAAATGGGATGCTGGAGAAAGGGAGGTTTGCTATTTTAAATAAGGTGACATTTGAGCAGAAACCAGGAGGGGCAGAGGGGGTCCGTTCAGATGTTTGGGGAAGAGCAGTTCAGACAGAGGGAACAGCAAGTGCAGAATCCCTGGACTGTACCCGTTTACATAATTACCTTGCTCCTTGCTTCTATATTATTTTTATATTACAGCCATTTAAAAAATACCACTCACTTTCCTGAGCTACACTTTACCACTTACACATTTCCATCTTGGTTTTAATTTTCCTTCACAATAATTTCTTGGGAGTAGATAAAAGGACACCTCCAGACTGCAAATCAAGAAATTGAGACTCCAAGGAAAGGCCTATATAGCTTGGAACTTAAACTTCGGTCTTTTGCTTCCCAGTGTAGGATTGTTTTTCTGGTTGACCTTGCTCTATTGTGAAAGTCTGGGCTGCTCATGAGAGATGGACTTCATTAGGTCAGAGACAGCATCTTACTTATCCTTCTTCCCTTCTAGGTTCTAACTCAGTGGTTCACAAGCAGTAGATATTTAATACATATTTGTGGATTTGTTTTGGCTGAAATTTCACAATACAACGGTTAGGGCTTGATTTGACATTTATTTGGAAGATGGATTCCTAAACCTGACTAATTTTATTATCATCAGATTCTTTTCATTAAGAGCTTAGAAACAAATGTGTGAAATCTCTGCTGTGAAGGGAGTTTTGGAACCTGGCTGGAATGAACCTAATTACCAAGGAATTGAATTTGTGGTGTGAATGACATCCTGGTGAGATTCCAGCTGCCCTCTTGTTTGCTTAATTAAATAACTAAGTTACTCCTGAAGTGATTGGCTATGAGTGTAACTGATACTTCACTTTTTGAATCCGAATGAGAAATCATGTTGGCATCAAGTTGGCTGGAGGTGGGATCCTTTGAAGCAGTGAGCTCTCCAGGACCCATCTTCAGGTATCTTAAAAGCTTTGCCAATTCGTTCCTAAATGAGGATGAAATAGCCACTTTCTGGAAAAAACAGTTGAGACTCCTAGTATGTTAGGTTCTATTTTCTTGATCAGATTTCAAAACTTCCAGAGTGGGGTTTGTGTCTTATCGTTTTACATTTCTCATAGTGATGGGAATACATGTTTATTGCATGCCTACTATGTGCCAGCCCCTGGTCTGTATTCTTTGACATCTTAAGTTTCATTTAATCCACATGAAAATCCTGTGAGGTTGTTTTCCCCACCTTGTACAGAATTTGAGACTCATAAATTAAGTTCACAGTAGATGCGTTGAAGCTTGATTCAGTCTCAGGTCTTTCTGACTGAATTCCCCCTCTCTTCCTTTTTAAAAATTTTAACCAGCTATCCTGTGATGGATACTTGACTGGCTGTGTGACTTTGGGCAGATCACTTCCCCTCTCTGAGCCTCAGTTTCCTTATCTAATTGGGGATAGTGATGTCTACCATATAGGGGTGGTATGAGCATTAAATGGGGTTATACATTTAAAGTGCTTAGTAGAGTGCCTGGTATGTAGTATATCTAAGTGCTTATTCACTGATTTATTTATTAAATACATATCAAGTGCCTAATATATGTCAGGCACTATCCTTGGCACTAGGGAGATGGCAGTGAACAAGACAAACAGGGTCATAGCTTTCCTAAGTTTAACAGCCTGGTGGAGGGAGAGACAGATAACAAACAAGTAAATAGAACTGTTTAAGTGTTAATTGTTGCTATTGCCATAATTTTTATTATCTTCACAGTAGGTGAAAAATCACAGTAGGTGGTTAATGCATTTTTATTGACCTTGCTCCTGTCATTTACTGTGTCACAATGGCTTAAACTTAGAGTGACCTTAATAGGTATCCAGCACCTCCTCACCTTCCTTGTCTGACCCCCTTCAGATTTGTTGACAGGGATACCCTGAAAGCCAGAACTGTCCTTCAATCATCCCTGAATCCCTAGCACCCAGGACATAGATGCTGAGGAAATGTTCAGTTTTTTTTTTTAATTTTATCTTGCTTTTGATGCAGCAGTGACGGGCTTGGTTGGTTCCCAAGCAAAGCACAGCAGGTTGGAAGCTGAATCGGCAGGGATGGGAGAACTGGGGGACGTTAGAGGCAGGCAGCAGCATAGGGAACTATGCTCACCTGATTACGAGAGGGAAGAAAGACACAATAAGCAGCAGACCAATAGCGTTTGGCCCAGGTCCTCGACCTTGTCCTGTAATGCAAAGCCACCTGTTTATTGTAATGTCTGAT